GCTGCCAAGATGGCAGCCCACTTTGAGCTTCAAAAACACTCTTCGGAAACCTACGGGTGACTGTTTTTATACAGTCTATGGTGCACGCGTGTCGCTAATAACAAAGATTTCTGAATTCTACATATACAGTAGCCTCTTTAAAAGTTTGCTAAAGTGTACTTCTTTTTAGGCTTGATAAGAAGAAGAACTTGAAGAACTTCAAAATATATTTCACTCACGTAGAGAAGGCATTGTTCTGTTTCTCACAACGGATCCCTTTGCAGTGGTTGGGCTCTTCGGACGCCTTCGTCTCATAGTAGAAGTAGAGCTGGTTGAGGCCGTTGGCGAAGGCCAGCAGCACCAGACAGTAGATGAAAAGAAACTTGAGGATATCCAGCAGCATGCGGCCGAGAGAGATCTGCAGTGGGCCCAAGTGAGAGTTCGCGGTGAACAGAGAGATGAGACGCAGCGAGCTGAAGATATTGGCGATGGCGAAGAGAGCCTCTGCGATGAGCGTAGGGTGCCACATCTCCCACTCCACACGAGGACGGGAGCTGTTGTACTGATGGAGAGAGAAGATATGAGAGATAAATGAAGACAGTTCTAGTTCCTGGTACGAGCTGAAACTATTTGCAAGTGGTCTTCTGTGATGGTATCAACTCTAGTGCTGTAGCTTTCATAAAAATGCTGTTATCAACCTTAAAGTAGGCCACCATTTTAAGAGATATAGTGGCCAGGTAGAGGGAGTTCATCGCAAAATCCATTAGGTTCCACCAGTCATGGATGTACTCTGTGAAACCGCCATCCCACATCTCTTTAATCTCCGCCCAGATGAAGCCTGCAAGGACCAAAATTAAAAACATTACAATAACTGCACAACAGTACAAAAAGTGCAGTTCCTCCACCAGTGTTTCCCATACATTGATTTATTTGTGGCGGCCCGCCACAATATCAAAACTGACTGCCACAAATAGATTTTCGAAAAGGCTTTGACTTCGTTGAATAAACATGAGCACTGCACGTTTCAAAATCGAAACCCGGTGCAGGTGTTTTTATATAACTGTGTTTCTGAAGGAAACCGCCTGTCTTCAGAAAATTTTGGATGTCGTTTTCATTTCTTCTTGCATGTAATGTCTGATAAAGCAGTGTTTGTGAGCGGAGCGCTGCTTTGTGTACAGCGGCTACCGGGGAAACCTCTGTTTCTCCCGCTCTACAAGCGCCTCCTGCTGGCAGAGAATGAATTTGCATATATGCCGCCACAAATAGAGTGCAAGTCTGTGGGAAACACTGTCCACTTTCACTACATAACCCCTATGTGGCAAGGTGAACAAAAATGTTTTTAAAGTTAATAACAGGTGTGTTAAGATCAAAATAATACTGGGCAATCGTCCCACCCTGCCCCTCGGGGCCTCTGTAACATGTCCCCAAAATTAATTAATTGAAATTAACTTTTTACATTTACATTTAATCATTTGGCAGACGCTTTTATCCAAAGCGACTTACAGTTGAGGAATACAGAAATACAGGAACAGAAAACAGAAAACATACGATTATTGTTAGGCTAACATATATACATTTTCTTTGCTCCACTGCCTAGTGCTCATATTCAGAGAAATAAAGCAAACTCCGTTCTCGCTGATTGCACCTGTCCTCCAGATTACAGATAATTTGTTTCAAGCCTCCACTTGTGTGTACTTCTGGGCTTGTGTTTGCTTTGAGAGAAAACCTCAAGCCATTATGATTGAGCCCTGGTGTAATCAATCCTGAACTGGGGGCTTGAGATATAATTTCCTCTGCTTTTGTCTTGAGGTCAATAAATTATGATATCAATAATTCATCAGTATTCATTTACTTCATGAGAGGAATAAAACCACTGCCATATCTATTTCCTGTGCAGTCGAACAGTTTTACTGCTTGAGAAATGAGCCAAATAAATGAATGTTACAGATCAGCGTTTCTTCATTATTTGAGCTAAATGGATATTTGAGACTAGATTTTTACACTTTGAATTCCAGCACAACAGTGTCCACCCACTTTATTTTTCCTAATCATTTTCTACATGGGGATTTTAAAAATTCTGCATTAAAGTGTTGTAGACAATGAAAAAGACTCTGAAAAGAAGTTTGAAAAGGTACATCCCATGTGCTAAAGAAGTACACTAACTACATGTGCTAAAGAAGTACAGCATACTTTTAAAAAGATTACATATTATGGACAAAATATAAATTTATTTTATTAAATATATTATATCTAATATATTATTAGATATTAGATATAATATATTATTATATCTAATATATTAAATAAATATATTAGATTATAAATATATTATATATATTTTAATATAATATGAAAAATAGTTGAATGTTATATTTCAGACACTTAATTGCATCTGCAAGTGTTATTTAGAATTAAATAAAAATGTATAAGGCTTTAAATTTATATTAAATGCAATTAGCTGATCTTAAGAGTGCTTAAAAAAGGTCTTAAGTACATCTTTATATGTATTTTCTTACTTCTACTGTCTTTGAAATATGGTTACAGTAAGTGTACTGCCAAATGTGCTGAGAAGTTTTAATGGTAAATTAAAATACACTTTAATGTATTTTTTTATATTGAAACCTTTTATGCCATGTATTTAAATACTATACATTTGTAATTATTAGTGCTGTCAAACGATTAATCGCGATTAATCACATACAAAATAAAAGTTTTTGTTTGCATAATATATGTGTGTGTTCTGTGTATATTTATTACGTATATATATAAATACACACCGATACAGTATATATTTTGAAAATATTTACATGTATTTACATGTCTATATTTATATTCATATAATTTATATTATAAATACATTTATTTAAAATATAAACATAACATATTTTTCTGAAATACGTACATGCATGTGTGTGTATTTATATATACATAATTAATATACACAGCACACATCATAATATGTAAACAAACACTTTTATTTTGGATGCAATTAATCACGATTAATCGGTTGAAAGCACTAGTAATTACACATTTACATTAAAAATATATTAACTTTAAATATAATATTGAATAACACACTACAGTTAAAATTATAATGAAGTACTTTTATGTGCTTTAGAATGTTAGTCAACATCATAATAAGTGAATGACAAAAGATTGATGAAAAAGAATGATTTACAACTTTTAATTTGAAACTAATACAAAGTACATTTTTCAAAAGTGTGTTAAGAAACATACATACTCTCTTAAGTGACTTTTATTTCATTAATAGAAGCCTTACCTAGAACCCAGGGTAAGATCATCCACTCCACGATGGTGGGTGGAGGTCCTTGTACATGCAGGTCAGTTTGCACGATATGCTGTGAGGCGAGGAGGAGGAGGAAGAGGAAGGTCAGGTAGGAGGCAGTGTGGCAGATGAACTTGATGAAAGGTTTCTTGATGAAGGTTCCCAGGGTGCTCTTTGGAGCCAGAAGGTATATGAGGGAGAAGACAGAGAAGAGCAGGCCAATGATGAAGCAAGTGACAAGCTTCACTGCCCAGTGACGTCGTCTCCAACCTGGGAACCCATCATACCACAGTGTTGCCAGGAGCTGCTGACAGTTGGGCTGAGCTACAAACTGAGAATATAATAATAGTTGAATGATCTAATAAGCCAGTGAAATTCATGACAAATACAGATAAAGATGGTATTCAGTATCTGGCATAATATTTTAACTGCTTAACATTCATGCATTAAAAGTGTTAAATGGATGTTAAAATCATACAGATGTTTTGCACATATTCTTGGTAACTTGGTGTATAATATATAATAATATGAATGTATATGAAAATTGGATAAGGGGGCATCTAAAAAAACTGTCAAGAAACATCTTAATTAAATAAAGTGGTTAATATAATTTTTTTGTATTATGCTATTAATTTGATCAAAATTAAGCACATTTCCTCCCACTATATATACATCTCTTATAGATTATTATACAATAATACGTAATGTAATGAAAAAAATGTACATATGTAAAAATGTTAGTTTTGTTTAATTGTTGCCTCTGTGACAGTGTTTATGTTCCTCTATTGTTTGCTGTTTTGTTTTCCTTTGTTTTGTTTTCTTTTCTTTTGTTTTCTTTTCTTTTCTTTTCTTTTCTTTTCTTTTCTTTTCTTTTCTTTTCTTTTCTTTTCTTTTGATTTCTTTTCTTTTCTTTTCTTTTCTTTTCTTTTGAATCTGTGACAAAGTGTTTATGTTCCTCTATTGTTTGCTGCTTTGTTTTGTTTTGAATCTGTGATGAAGTGCTTATGTTCCTCTATTGCAAGTCACTTCGGTCCTTCTTTGTGACATTTACCCATATTTTAACTTAATGTAAATTTTTTTTTCTCTTAACTACTATCTATCAATCATCCTAAGAAAAGCAAACAAGGCCACATAAACTGACAACAAATGATATGCAAAAGCATAAATGTTGAAAAGGTTTTTAAGTGAGTAAACATCAGTGGGGTTTGACATTCATGTCATTACGTAATACCTTTTTTCCACAGTAATTTGAGGTGAAATCAATTATTAAATCAAACTGTCAGACTTTGAGTAAGAAGTCATTTAGTTTTACTTTTATCACTGGAAAACTTTTATCTAAAAATGACATTACACTTATTGCAAGATCTATTGCCCTGGAGTAACCTGGAATGACTTGCTCAAGAGCCCAGTGTTGATGATTCACAAATAAACCCTTGTGAGGTTTAAACCTGCAAACTTTCATCTACTAGTCCATTATGCCACACCACCTCAACCCTGCATGTTCTCACACAATTTTACAGTTAATCTGAGGTTTGTAATTTAGCACTGTAAAAAAAAAAAAAATTCTCAAACACCCAGAAATCGCTCCCTTTTACACAATACAGGTGGAAAATGATGTGCCTGTCCATAATAATCGTATAAATAATGTTTCTCAAATCACATTTTTCTCTTGCAGCCTGACCTACATTGCTATGCAATGTTATTATGTTTTATGAAAGGAGTCATTTCTGCTGTGGGCTCCTATTAAACATACGAATGATTCAAAATGCAATGGCAACTGTCACCTCTCATGAAAACATTTTGCAATGATTCTATCAGCATTAGAAAACAACAGATCTTATGAAAGCACTTCATCTCAAGATATAATTTCTAAGGGAAATAAGAAAAGTTCTGATTTACTTTAAGAAAACTTTTTAATGTCCTGGTTTGGTATTTAATGGTATTTAAATGTCCTGGTTTGGTAATTAAATTTTTCATATTTTTATTTGTTAAATTATTACATTTTTTGTTTTATTATTTTATTAATTTATCAGCAAGAGATGTATTGTTGATAAATGAGGAAAAAAACAAAACTAGGATCAATAAAATGCATGAGGAGGACAAGATTCCCATACACTGCATTTGATGCACAGCCAAAATATGATACACTTATTAAGGCAACATGATGTAGAGAAAACATAATTTGATGCTTGAGGACAAGACAAATGTTTACAGGTTTATACATGCTTTACTGACATTAACTGATCAAAACACTGCATTTTATTTATATTTATCTCATAAGCTGCTTATAAAATGCCACAAGGAGAATGAGCTTACACAATGACTAAACCAATTCCTGTTTTTGATGATAATAGTAAAAGTTTTCAAGTTTAAAGGTGGGGTATGTATTTTTTCAAAAACGCTTTAGAAAACTGAGTGGGCCGAGGACCAAAACAAACTTGTAGCCAATCAGCAGTAAGGGGTGTGTCTACTCATGATGTGGAGGAGAGAGCGCTTAGTGCACAGGACGGACATTAGCCGAGCCGAGCGGCAGAAAGATAAGAGATGGCGGATAAAAAACAAAAGAGGAAAACGTCTGTGGAACAAAAGAAGGCTTATGATAAGGCAAGAAGTAGGACCCGTGTAAATATCGGATCAGCCTTCCAGCGCTGGAGAGAACTCAAGGAGCGGAAGGCCTGCGATCGGACGCCGAGGTTGCTTTGTTTCTTCTCGATATGGGTGAGTAACACCGTGTCTACACCGGACGCGACAGTTGTCGCACCACGCAGCAACAGCTAAAGTCTGTCTACACTGGACGCGATAAAGCGACCGCTGAAAATAATTTTAAATTTGTGTCAGTACGTCATAAATAGAACGCAGCAGCATCCAGTGTAGACAACATCACTGATTATAATGAGTTTGTCGCGCCGCGCCACTCGCGTCCGGTGTAGACACGGTGTAACATTGGTTTTGCTCTGTTTCACAGAATTAATCGTTGCCTGGGTTGCGTACGAATGTGTGGGGCGGACCTATCAAAATAGGGGCGAGACCCTTTTGGGGTAGGGGCATGTTTGTTTTGGTGATTTGAAATATCAACATTGGCTACCAGAAATCACTTACCCCACCTTTAAGGTTAACTTTCACATGCATGCATAACCTTGCTTATGTTTCAAGTCAGAGAGAAACCCAGTTTTAGTTCTTCGTGGAGACTAGCTGTGAGCAAAAATAAAAAACCACACACTTTCCAAGATCTAAAAAAAAAAAAAAGATAGAAAAAAAGCACTATAATTAATAATGAATAATAATTCATAATATAATGACATTCTTGTGAGAAAGATGCTTTTTGGCAGTATAATTGTAGTTGGTTATTATTATTATTATTATTATTATTTTGGTCAATAATTGTTGATGAATCGTGATTTGGTAAAGTAAATTAGTTACATGTGTGAATTAGTGGAGACATTGTGCACTGTTTTCTTCTACTTTAGGGCCACTACCTAAATTAAACTTTTTCATTTTATGGAAATTTTGGAAACCATAGATTAGAACTTTACCTTTGAACCAATACTGAATTAGGGTTCCTATGGTCATTGAAAAGTTAATTTTTTGCACAATAAAGAATCTAAAGTAGATTGTCTTTCATTTTGTTCTTACCTCAGACACATTAGCAGAAGTATTTAAAGAATCCTATACATTTTTTAAAATACAGAATTGAATTTGATTAATTGAACCAAACTTTATGATGAATCAAATCATTCTGATTTAGCAAGAATCGCTTTAGAATTGAATCACAGCGGTTTTTTAGAATTGTTTTGACCCAGAGTCAAAACAACCCAACCGCTGGGTCAAAACAACCCAATAGCTGGGTTTGTCCCTTTTTAACCCAGCGCTGGGTTATATTTAACCCAGCATTTGCTGTCTAACCAAGATTCATACCCCTGAGGATAGTGAAGTAGGACGTGGTCACTCAGATCCGCAATCCCTTCTTAAAATCTGTCGGTCTAGGATACTCACCTCTTTCTGGTGGTACTTGATGGCTAGCTTGAGCTTGGCCAGGTCTCTGCACTCATGGGGGTCCAGCTCCTCGCTGTGGTCATCCCGATGGTTGAGGATGGTCTCCAGCTCACAGGAGCTACGGGCCTGATCCAGCAAGTCTTTAGCAAAAAGTTTGCACTGCTGAGAAAGCTCCTCGTACTCCTGCCGGAACTCGTTCTCCACTTTACTGAGCTCCTTCAGCTCCCAGCCCAGCCTGAACGCAGTGAGGATGGGATCTTCGCTGGAAAGGGCGATGAGAGAGGGGCTGGCAAGTGTTTTGTAGATGTTTAGACGTGAACGGGAGTGCCGCAGGCTGTCCACTTCAGAGCTAGATACACACTCCACGCAGTCACAGCGGATCTGGTGTGGCCGCGGGATGGTGACTTTTCGTTGGACTAGGAGCTTGATTATCTCGTAGTTGTTAGTGTGGGCAGCCAACATGATTGGTGTGATATCGGGTGTGAACTCCGAAAACTGTGTGTCCATCAAGTGAGAAAGAACCTTGAAGAGTGAAAATAAAGAAAGCAATAAATAAAAGTAAAAGTAGGCTATTAAGGAAGTTGTCAGTCTTTACAGTTCAGTCCAATGTACTGTGCATAATATTAAAGATGACCTGCAATCAGCAAAAACAATCGCCAACCAACACCAACAGACAATGATCAGACAAAACCCGACAAATGCGTCTGTTACCATTTGTCGGTGCAGTGTCAATTGGCCTTCTAAAATGATCAGAGACCTTAAGGACCCTTGACCCTTGAGAGCCGCTTAATGCGCCATCAGCCCAATTTGCGCCAACTTTTAGCTGCCTCCCTTTGAGGGTACATTAAAGTGGACATAAGGGCTTAATACTATGGTTACGGCTATAACAAAATTAAATTTTAAATAAAATTTCCATCAGTTTTTACCTTTTTTTTAAATCTTTTTTTATGGACACTTGAACTTGGCATATTTGACAAGTTCAAGTGTCCATCACCCCCAATCTTACATGTAAATATGGATGGATGTGTTGATGAATACATCTGCATGATGTCACAAAGTTAAGGAAGAATGAGTTGTTTTGATGCTTGATTTCAGTAAATAGCCTTCTCTTTTTGGACTGGAGTGAAAATTTTGAGTTCTGAAAGCTACATTACGTGTACATGATTTCAATCTGTGCTCTCCAGAACTTCCAGCAGGACAAAATAAAAATAAAAATAATAATAATAATAATAAATAAAAATTACAGCAAGGACTGAAACTCTGCAATAGGGTATTGACACAGATTTCACAAATTGATTAGATTCTGATTCGCTAGCTCTTGATTCGATTCATGTGCAATTTTGATTAGGTATTGATTCATTTGGATATCACGTACAGTACGTGTCAGTTATTGAAAACAATCAATAGCTCAGTGCCAATGCCAGTCTCTCAACTAATGCATACAAATTGGTATTTATTTTAGATATAATAATCACCACTCAAAAAGTTGAATACAAACATTTAAATTGCACATAAGGCAATTTTATATCAACTTTTTAATTATATAATTATGTTTATACTAGAATTCTTGTTGAAATATAAACATTTAAACGGTGGCTTGTTGCAACGACAGATTTATTCATATAAATTAGACATCGCTAAGTGAAGTAAAAATAACTTTTTTCTAATTGACTAAATGACTACCCAACATATTGTTTACTAAAGCTGTTTCACTGACGTCTTTCCGTGGTTGAAACACTGATTGAGATTTGACTGAGACATTTCAGAAAGTTGTTTTTTTTTTTTTTTAGGGTGCGAATTTGGGGGGTGGGGTTGGGGGATGGTGTCAGAGCACGATTTTTTAACATGAATTTATTGTGTATTTTTTATGTTTTATGTTTTAAATAGGGCTGTCAGAGTGATTAAATGTTTTAATCTAATTAATTACACAATGTGCCGATTAATTAATCAAATTAATCTCAGATTAGATTAGATTATTTAATTGGTAAATCATGTGTCGATTAATTTCAGTCAATATAACAGATCATTTAAAGTCATTATTGTGTTAAATTAGAAAAGCACTGAATAGACATTACAAAAAAGTAGCTTAATAAAGAAATATTTTGATTCAACATACAAAAACACACTTATACTGAAATATGATATTATTAAAAAACAAACAACAATACTTTTAATATAAAACTAAAAGAGCCAGTAGGTGGCGGCAAATCACTGGCTTAATGAGTGAGCCATTCAGTCATTCATTCAACCGATTCGTTCAAATAGCTGATTCATTCAAAAGCAAAACCGGTGACTGTCCCTGCATTCCATTCAGAAGGGTTCATCCCTATGCCCTAATCCCTTCAAAGGGTTTACCCTCCGGGGTGAGAGCTTCGAAGGGGGTAAAGGGTGTAGGGGTAAAAAAAAAAAACTATTTTTTTGGAACGCACTTCTGCGTCATCTTAACAAGACGATCAAGGATGTGACTTCGTCCGTTCGTCGCACATTTTGTACGCTGGTTGACGCCCAAACATCTTTTACGTTAAATATAATTTGTATTTGTATATGTAATGTAATGTAATGTAATATGTATTTGTAATGTATATTGTGTCTATGTATTTGAAACATTTGAATGGACTGATAAAGGTAGCTGTAAAGTATTGTTGTTTAGGTACAATGACGTTTTGACCATAATAATGCACCAAATCTAACTCGTATAAATATTACAGTAGTATAGAAAAAACTAAACATACATTTATAGGTGAAGTCGAACTCTGTGATGCCAAACAACTTTGTGCAAAGGATCTTGGGGGCCCGAAGTGTCCATCAGTTGTATCCTTAATTTCCGAAGGGCCCTTTGAAGTGGCCAGTTTTGAGCACTTCGGTTTGGAACAACCCTTCAATATGGCGGCCATGATTGTTTTCACTCTGAAGTGCCCTTCGGAGGGCGATATATCCCATTTGGAACGCACCGTGTATTTATGAATGGCTCACGGAATCATTAGCTCAATCGATTCATTCAAAACCGTGGATTCATTCAGTAATTAAACACCTCTGTGTGTTGATCAGAGACGCACAACAGTTCTCGTATGGCTTTATAGGTAATATTTTCATTGGCGAAATTGCACAAAAACAGGCAATATTGACAATATTGTGTCTAAAATGTAACACAATATTAAATGATTGTTTATTACATTTCACCAAGCTGATTAGGCTACTCACTAAAAACTCCCACAGATCATGTTTTCAATTCATGCCATTTTAAGTCTTTTTTTGACATACCAAATTGGTTATATCTAAGTGTGTGAGTTGTTTAATTGCTTTTTTTAATTTAGTCTTCCCATTTATGCCATTATATTGTTTATTCAGTCTGATTCGCGAACGTGGAACGTGCACGAACACAAGATTTAGCAGGATTTATCACATGAACCAATCAGAGCCGAAAATAAACCAGTCATATCGCGATGTGACTCTCGCGTGACTTTCCCCCATTCATTCTCGATTACCCCCCAACAAACTCTCGGCACGCTTTAAGGGGTCTGTTAAAACTCAATGGGCTCAGAGGAGGAGAGAGAGACTCCCGCTCTAACTTTACCTGCTGGTGTCGGTGTTGGACAATGTTTCTTTATAAAAACGAGTGATTTATACACTTTTTAATGTTATATTTTATAATATTCACGCACCTGTTTCTCGCCACTTGGCTTCTTGTAGGATAGCAGTAACTCCACCGCTCCCACCACCTCCTTGCGGATGGCGTAGAGGAGTGCATCACCCATGTGCACGCCATGACTCAACAGCAGCTCCATCACCTCTAGGTTCTCATTCTCAATAGCGATGAGGAGTGCGCTGCGGCCCAGGGGATCCAGACAGTTCACGTTGATGTTGTAATAGATCTCGGCCTCCTCAAGTGCCTGTTTAACTCCAGCATAGTCACCCTTCTCCACCGCCGTCAGGTAGGCTCTTTCCTTGGCAGACAGCTCAACCTCCGCCCTCACGATCTGCAGCGGGATGCGATCGCGGTACGGGGAGTTACTGGCTTTGTTGTAGTATAGCTGCGCCATAGGGTTCATGTGGACTCTGTGACATAAAATGACACAAGTCCAGACAAAGCTGTGCAGAGATTGAGCAAACAATCAGTTATGCCATTTCTTTCAAAACTGACATGCCAAATCATAACAAATCCAGATGAAGGAGTGAGGCAAACACTTTTTTACTAAAGTGAATATTTCAATTGAACCTTTTTAATGTTTCTTAGAATAAACCTATTTTTGAAAGCTACTTTCAGTATAGACACAAAGATTTGATAAAAAAAAAAATCATTTCTACCATAAATGCTCTTAAAAGGATGCAGCACATATTTTAATAACTACATGAAAAATTTAAAAAATAAATAACGTGAAATATCGCTCTATTGTTTTGGCAGCAGAATAAATAGTTTAAAATTAAAACATTTATGAAACACATGTGGCAACTGGCTTCGCCATGGTATTTATATATACAAATACATTTTATTGATGATCCTTACCTTAAAAGGATAGTTTACTCAAAAATAAAATTTTGTCGTCATTTACTCACCCTCATGTCATTCCAAAAGACACAAAAGTCTCTCTTTCTTAAAAACTAATATCTCCTGCAACTCCTCCTACAACCTACGTTCTCTGATGAGTTTCACTGATGCTTCATGTAAGAGATGGTGGGATATATTTAGTTTAAAAAAAGTCTAAAATCAGAGCTGGGTAGCAACTGATTACATGTAATCTGGATTACATAATCAGATTACAAAAATCAAGTACTTGTAATTAGAGTACAGTATATTACATTTTATAATGTTCATAATCATATTACAGTTACGTTTTTATTAATTACATGATTGCATTCACACAATGGCAGTAAATTATTCATAATTTATTGATTCTCCCTAATTCTTATTTTTTCTCTTTTACATTTTCCTTTCTAAAAATTCTACGGTGTCATACCATTTAGCTTTTACTATATTCACAATATAGAATGGCCATGTAAATGTCATGTAAATAATTTTACAATCCATGCTTCTGAATTTTTGGGAGAAAAGCATCTCACTAAATGGTACGTTTAAAACAAAACAAACAAAAAAAATTCAAAAGTAATCTAAAAAGTAGTCAGAATACATTATCTAAAATGGGTAACCTAGATTATAATGTAATCTATAACCAGTAATGGACTACAGTTTGTAAGTAATCTACCCAGCTCTGTCTTAAATATACCATTCAGACTGGCACTGATGGAGATCAAACCTCAGAACTAAAGTCTATGTTCTTCAGCTTTCTGAAGACATGTGTATTAATCAGATGTTGAAATGCTTAATGATATTATCTATCCAGCATATATTTGCAGATGGTACACAGAATATTGTATATATGTATATTGTGCTATGTCCAGATGATCCACCAATGCCCTATCAACTGGAGCTCCCACCAAGGTGTCCAGGAGAGTCAGCTGGACAAGGGTGTCAAACTGTGATATGAAGATGATTTTTTCCCTCAATTTGTTCATGCTTGATTGAGCCCTGATTTCCAAGGAGAGCTATTCACTATAAGTGATTGAAACTTTTAGAAATATCAGTCTGAAGTGATCCTTCTAGACATCTGGGGTCAACATATTTAGTAAGAAAATGGATGGTTACAGGGGATGTTGTAATTTTTTAGTCTTTTTATCCGTTTAGAATTATTTAAATTTAAGTCATTTTAGCAGATATATTTTAGTCCATTTAGCAGCACTAAATGTTTCCTGAGTTGTGTTTTTGCTTTTAGCTTGAAATGGTGTCTAAATAGATTGACAACAAGATGCATGCAGTTTAGTGCATATTTACATACAGATTGAAAAAAAAAATGTCCTGTGTGAACAGCCCCTATAATAAAATAAAGTAATGCAAATCATAGTTAATTATTACTTTTTATAATGATTAGCTCAATATTGTTATGTGTTACATTTAAAAGTAACATTTCCCAACAATGCTCAGCATGACACGTTTGGTGGAAAAAAAAATCAGCATACAAGCTGTTGTTTAGAAGCATAGCAATACACAAATGGAACTTCTGCCTTTTCTGTGTGAAACATGAGAAAGAATCCATGTAGAGCCTCAGCCATGAAATCATGCAGTAATGAGGGTGATGGAAAGTTTAGAACAGCGACTGACGTCACATTATTTGTCTGTTGGGAATCATGTAGTTTAGAAAGAACAGAGGGCCAATGACAGATCCCTGGGGGACGCCCTGGGTAACAGTAGCAGCAGACTAACTGCCGCCTGTCATTGCGATAATTAGGAACTGAACCACATCAATGAAGGTGAGACTGGAATATAATTTGCTGATGTATTATTGATGTAAATTTAAATTTTACTGTTTTTTTTTTATCAACATTGATTCTAATGGGTGTCTATCCTTTGTTTTATAGGTGAGTATTATATGTCCATTTTAGTTTGACAGTTAATATTTAAGCTTTTTGAATAATACATTATGTTAAGAATCATTTTTGAATATGTAAGATTGCATACTTTTGAATATTTAGATTATTATTTTTTTTATCTCCAAACTCAGTCAAGATAGAATTATTTTCTCCACAGGTCTTAAGGCTTTTTTATTTCCAGGCCATCTCCCATTTTTATCAGGTGACTCTCTCTTCCATTTTCTTTCATGCATTGCCAGTATATTTGGTGTGACAAGTAAACATCTCTAAGCATGATCACACAGCATTGCCAGTCTATAACACCCCTTCGATTTCTAGACATGGCAGGTAACAGATGCGTAAAATTATGTAAGCAACTGCCAAGATAGCTGGCTTGTGTTGCTTTGCTTCACCCTTTCTAGAGATACAAGGCTTTACTAAGCAATCCCTATTAACAAATGATTGATGCAATTGTGTTGTTGATAAATAGAGTCAAGTGTGTACACCAAGAAGAGCAATTAGCACCCTTGTCCACAGTTTAATGGTAAAACAATGTAAATCATGTCAATTTAAATGTTAAATAATGTATTAAAATAACTCTCAGATGACATGATGATGTAACATGAAGTAAACTGCACAAATTACACATTAAATAATACAATTTCTCAAATGAAATTTAAAACAATGAAATTAAATGTAAAAATTGCATATAAAATAATGTAATCCTCTCAAATGATATGTAAAACCTCACAAATAAAATGTAAATTCATGTAAAATCTCTCAAATTAAACATGAAAAATATAACCCTCACAAATCACATAAAATAATTCAAAATCTTGCTAATTAAAATGTCAAATATTTTAAAGGGCATCATTAATCCATAATTTCAAAGAGTTGTGATGGCCAATCTACAAGAAATTAGAATTGTTGGTCAGTCACATAAAATTACACTTTTAAGCTCAGACCTTTTTGCTCACTTGAACAAATATTAGCACTCTGAGTTTGTAGCAGTAATTCAGCCATCCTGGCATGAGGGTTTGTGGACCTCACCAAAAGCAAGACAGCTGCCCAGTTTTACTGTAATTCAGTCAATCCGAATATCATAAAATTTTATTTGATGCACTTTATACTCATGTCAGTGAGTATTTCATTATTTCATTATGTAAGAACAGAGGCTGAGTGTTTTTCCCGTTTGCTGTTGAACTTTACACCTCACTGCTTCATAAAAGCTAAAGAAGGCTTCCACGGGGAATTGACCCATGTTTTATTCAGCATGTTTGTAGACCTGGATGGACACCTTAGTTTATTAAAGTGGTTTGACAGTGAATGCGCACAGACCCACTGCTATCGTTAATATATACATGTTTAAACAAAAACTGTCTCTCTGAGTTGCATAAAACATGAATCAAGATTCTTGTCATTTTAAAGGCGAATTTCCTTTTACAATGTTCCAGTGATGATTAGGCTCCAAATTACTCCATTACTCCTTTGATGATTACTCCAAATGTTTTTCAATTAGATTTAAGTTTCTTGTTTTAGATTTATATTACATTTAACCATATTGTTTTCATTTCATTTGCTGAATCCTCCACAATCTAAAGTAAGTTTAATGAAACTAAATGTTCACTTACGGTCAACAGTAAGTTCAGTGTAAGTAACAATGTTTTCGTGAAAACAGAGAGCACTAACAATACTGTTTGTGTGTTTATAGAGGGAGTAAGAGATGGATGTTGTTTTTGCATGTTTCAACAACAGGAATTACTCATTTGAAACAAACAGCAAAAGCAGAAATCTCTGATGGACCGTACAGACCTCTGCCTCCAGCTATGAGCAGAAGCTGAGCTGTCTTTAAAAGATGAACTAGCCTAGCACTTAGGTTCTAACATTGTGATGGAATGGCAGAACTTGACTGAGAAGAGAGAGCTAGAGAAGCATGTACAACGTCACACCCTCTGCAAGCTCAAAGAAACATCCCGGAACGACTGGATTCATTGGTTGTGTTCCATGAGCATCTGCTGACATTTAGTGTGAACACGCATATTTAAGTTCACACTGATCTCCCACAGCAGTTGTGGGTTTTCCTCTCTGTCTCGCTTATTCCTAGTTTAATGCAGTGGATCGGTGCTTTAGAGATTAGAAATGTTAAGGTTTTTAGTTTCTACAGCACTCGGGTTTCCTCCACTGGCCTGAATCATATACTCCTGACAAGAGATCATTTTGGTTCAGATGTAGTGGGCACATAAGATGCTTTTTCAAATATCGATCTCAAAATACCAAGCTATGACAAGAATCATCATGGTCCACGAGAACCAGAAATGATTACTTTAATTAACTTGTTTAATCAAGCTGGCTCTACAAGAGCAATCTTATTTACAAACATGGCTGGGAAGATGTTGAAGAAAAGGGATAAAAGATTTTTTAGAAAGAAATGGACAGATATTGACTTTGAGTTACAGTGAGACACTTACAATTACAGTGAACGGGGCCAATTCATAAATGTTCAAATACTCACTGTTTCGACAGTAATGAGTAACTGCTCTCTAACATTTTCTTTGTAATGTTAAATCCAATTTTACAATTTCAAAGCCATGACAACACTACAAACATTAAAACCCTAAAATAACTTTAAAAATGATTTAAACAACTTTACAGCT